TCTAGAAGTGTATTATTTTTTCTTTTTTGCACAAACTTACAGGCGGAGGTAGGGATTTTAATACTGAATGGAAACCAAATCAATTAAATCTGGACAATTGAGTCACTTTTAGTGGGTGAAGTGCACAACAACAGTTGGTCATGTATTGATTGGTGTTCAGAAGAAAAGCTAATAAGGTAACTAATCTTATCATAATCATTACAAATGGTCTGTTTGATAACCATTTCCTTTTTAGCTTTTTGATTTTGAAAATTATGCTTATTTGCTCATAATTTCTTTAATATGTTTTCACCATTATTCAAAAACAAGTTTTTGAAAACTATTTCTTTTAGTTTTCAAAATTTGGCTTATATTTTGAAAACAGAGGACGGATGCAAAATACAGAAATACATTCGTGAAAGTAGTCTCTACAAGTTTAATTTTTAAAAACATAGTTATCAAATTGGGGCTAATTTTCACTTTTCTATAGCAACAAATAAGGACAATAAGTCACAATACTAATGTGTACCAAAAAAAAAGTCAAATACTAATGGAAATTCAATCAAGGACACATAGTTCGATCAAAATTGAGCTCAAACCCAAGTCTGTCTTTTCTTAACCCGAATACTTCTTGTGGCACTTAATGCCACTAGAATCTTCTGATACTGTTAGGAGGACAAACTCAAACAAATTTCTACTCACAGTTTCTCAAAAGGAAAATGACGAATATCCATGAAATAGATAAAGAGAAGATATAAAACTAACCATTAAATCCATGAAAGCATCGACATTGTCCAAATTCATGGTTACAAACACCTTGCCCACTGCAGTCATTTTTGCAGCTACTGCCACCTACTAACTGCCAGAAGAGATTTAGTTTGTTATAAAGAGATCAATGTTACACAGCAGAAGTCAAACTGATAACTTCCATAAAAATCTCTAAAGAAACTTATTTACATGGAAAGAGAGCAATGACCACTTTACATTATTTTGCTATCATCGGCATTTAAAAAAATTGTACCAGACAATGAAACAAAAAGCATGTTAAGCAAAACCATCTCTTACTCTAGCAAGAGGGATTTATTATACTTATACAGATAATTAATGCAAAATGTCTCACTACCTCAACAATCTGGAGTTCTTTGATAATTGCATCACAACCTGAAAGCCACCGCCCTATATGAGACTTCCATGGTGCACCATGATACATAACAGCATGGTGAGAATCAGGAGGAAACTTAAGATTCAAATCGACGGGTTGTGGACCTGGATCTTGTTCGGGATGGTTGCTATAGGCTTCAGTAGACGAGTTAATGGCGAAACCAGAGTTGTGAATTCGCCTTAAGTTATCCAAAGAAGGCATCAAAGGAAAGAAGAACAAATGAACCACAGTAACCAATGCTATTATAGAAGTAATTGACACCCCGAGAGACCATGAGCAATTAAATTTCTGAGCGAAAGCCATTATCTCAGTCTCCTCCTAACGGTGTCTGTCGAATTCACATCAAATCAAAACAACATTTCCACCCTCAATCGAGTTCCAAAGCACCTAAAAGAACAACAATCAAAACAAACATGAACTATACTCTACAAATTTCAAGAAATAAAAAGTCCAATCCTAAGCGTTAGCTTCAAAGTGCAGCTATGGACATCATCTTTCCAACTAAGAAAGCATCAAGATTCTGACATTCTTCCATGAAATAAATCCAACAAGAACCTTAAAACTTAGACCCAACAAATGAAATGCAAGAACAAATTCAGTCACCAAAAAATTTCACTACCCCAGATACCAATTCCCCACAGTTGACTAGAGAACACCAATGATTAGAGTAATCGAACAATGGAAGAGTATAGGAACAAAGAACACGCACCCGAAGCAGAGGGTCGGAATGGGAAGACGCCAATTGGAATAATTTAACGACAGATCGAGATTTCCATTGAGAGAGACTTGGAATTAAATAATAACGCGCGATTCTGGGCTCTTGCTGGCAAACCGGATACCGAAAACTCAACCATTGTATAAATAATGAGCAAATGAATCAAAATCTGACAGACAGAGAGAGAAACCGCCAAAGGCTGGGTCGCTGAAGACGCAAATTTGAATAGCATTAAAAAAAGCGATAGTAAAATAAAATACTTTGTTCACAGAATAATTTTTTGTTTTAAAAACTAGAAAAAATCACTTTTTTTTTTTATTTGGTTGAAACTGAAACGGGTGCGTAATCCCGTTGACCGGCGGGCAGTTGGATTTGTCCTTTGTGGAGGGATCGTGCCCCAACCTTACCGTGAATTTCATTTTTTAATATTTACGAGTATCAAGACTAATTGTCGGACTCTACTATATATTTGATTGTTAAATAAATTAGTAGAGTATTAAAATTTAGGTAGGTAGACATCAATAAACTTAGGTATGGCTTTTCCTGCATTGTCGGGTATGAGCAGTTTTGTTGCAGAATTCCGAGGATGAGCCGACCGATCCTAACATCTTTATCTAAGGAGCCGGACGACGAAGCCAATGAGTTCTAAGAAGGAGGGCGGCACCCTGAATCAATCAATAAACTTTTTGCAATTAATAGTCTTTTTTGGAATAATTACCAGCCAAAAATATCTGTTAATGGCAAAAATACTAATTACTTTGGTTTCTTCAAAACCTTTTACTCACTAAATCAATCATGACAGGCGTTCTTATTGCGATTGTTCTTTTGTGAATATATAGCTTCTGGAGAGATGTGTAAATGACTTTCTAAGATAAGCATATGACCTACTCAAAATAGAAAAAGCAAATTTCCACACGCAAGTTATTATCTAAAGTGTTTTCTAGACAAGCAATTAATCACATGTACATAAATTTTTTTTTATATCTGTGAGTGTTCGGATCAGTTTGTGCGTACCTCGACTAATCTCACGGAGAACCGCTTGACCTTACTACATTTGGTTGCCTAAGTAACTTGTAGGATGACAAGTGGGGTCCACTTAGTAGTCATCAGATACTATCGCAAGAATTCCAATGTGATTTTCATTGTGGTGGAACACAGTTGATAGAAGTTTATTTAATTTCAAAACACGTCAGCTCAGCCTCGACCATAAGGCAAGTTGAGGTTCTCCCCTAATTCTGGTGAAACACATTAAAATGTAATATAAATCCTAAAAGTTTTTAAATTCAAATAAAGAAACTAAAAATTAGAGAGAGGCCGAGAAGACATTATTTCTCGTCCTCTCCTCCATTTTCTCCTCACACTATCGGTACTCAACATCGATTGAATTGACATCAATAAATCAGTCAAGGTAGGCTTACCCCTCTTTCGACTATATTTTAAAAGCCTTTTAACTTTTATTAAGCAAGATTTACTCACATAATTCATAATTTGTATTTGTCTAAGTACTACAATTAAATACAAATTTCTTAAAAGAAAACTTTTGGGAGCAGTCCCCATGCAAGTCTGCCACTGATTCCTACCTTATTTGGCAAATTTTGTTTTCTCTCTCTAGCATGCAAAAGCATATTTAAAAATCCTTCCTCTCTCTCTTATATGTGCATGCAATCTTATCAATGCTCCATCTAAAATTACACCTCTCATGCCATTCACGTTTTTGCTTCTCTCTGTTTTCTCGTCATATTCGTTTTCAATTTGTTCCAAAATATAAATATTGAAATATCGTTTTATCGTTCTTGAATTCATGAGTGTTGGAGTCATGTAATCCTGTTATAGATCAGATTGGACGAGCAGAAGATAGGAGTTGGACTGGAGGAGGAGCGGACTCACCAGGTAAGGAAGTCGAAACCCGGCCACTTGGGCCGACCATAGCCGACCAGGCCTCGACATCGAGACCTTCTCAATGTCGATCGAGGAGTTCTTGGCCCTCCGGCCTCTCTCCCGACCCTCTACGCATTTTCAATCTGAGTTTACCTTGTCTCGACCATAGATTTGACATTGGACCAATTGTGAAACACACAGGCCCAGAAGTCCAGATCTCTAGATTCAACTTTGGTAATTCTTAAAGGGATTAGGGTTCGACCTCTATAAATAGAAGGGTAAGACAAACTCTAGAGGTATGCTCACAATACCCTACACTCTATACTCAACTACTTCGAGTCACATCGGTCTTAGTCCTATTATGTTTTGCAGGTCTTGTCGATTCTTTATTCTAAAAGATTGTTGCGAATTTGGCAAAATCCTAAAAGGCCAAATTTATGAATCAACAAATCTTATTTTTCTTTGTTAAAAATGAAGAAAGAGAAACAAGAAACGAAAACGTTACTAAATAGGCCTTGACTGTTTTCAAAATTTTTACACACAATAAGAAACAGGACTAGATATCAACGGCTTATGTTTTTCCAAAGAAAGGAAAATAGAAAACAAGAAACAAGAAATACCAAACGGGCCCTTATTCTTCCAAAAGTTAATTGATCGATTAATGATATCGAGGTAGTTCGACCTCTACTCCAACGAACTTTTACTCCTACCTCACACTCTTTTACAATTACGGTATTTGTTACTATAATAATATTATTATAACTTTATTTGTGGTTGGATTTCACAAAGTTTTTGAGTTAATAGGAAGAATAGTTCACGATGATTGATGTCTACTTAGAATCGGAATTAGTTCAAACTTCATATCCCCGTTCTATAAAAATTTCATAAAATTTGGAGGCAATAGAATATAAAGTTTAGGATTAAAGATTACCGCAACAACTTTATGGTTGAGAGTACTTTGCGCACTTTTTAAGCGTTGCAATTACGAAAGAGTTAAATTGTGGAGTTGAATTACAACGATTTCATAATTTGAAATATTTACTGGGGTGAAAGTTTGAGATGCAAGTGTAAAGGTTCTCATTATAGTTCATAATTTGGTTTTATTGAAATTAATGAGTTTTGAGATATTTTCAATGTTTTTTTTTCCATTAAAATTAGTGTGTTGGGTTCACAAAAATTAAATAGCGGATAAAAACTACAACAAATATCTAAGTTTATGGGCAAATTTAACTAAATTATATTGAAATTTTAGGGTGAAAATTGATGCACATTGTAAGTTTATAGGTAAAAGTTATTTTTATTTTCTTAATGGAAACTTTAATGGATTTTTTGGTCAGTTTACATAAAAATTAATTGTCATGTCAAAGCGAGCATAGCTCAGCGGTAATTGGCATATACCTCCAATCAGAGGTTGTGATTTCGAATCCTCTCCTCAATCGTGGTTTTTCAAAAAAAAAAAAAAAAAGGCGATCGTGAAGATTTAAACCTTCTTTCTTTAATCCGGAGTTATATGATGGGCCTCTTTTGATTCTCTCCCACTTAGGTTTTGTGTGGTTGGTTATTCAGTATCCTTCCCCAGGGCAACTTTTTATTGTCATTTATTTTCCTACAATTATGTTTCAATTTGACAAAATATTACATTAATTGTAGCTTCTATTTTCTTATTTATGAGAGCTTTATGTTGACTTTGTGAAATTGAAGGAATTATGAGCAATTTTTTTTATTTATGAGAACTTTACGTTGACTTTGTGAAATTGATGGAATGATGAGTAATTTTTTTAATACACAATGTGGGATGGGCTCGAATTCACAACCTCTTGATTGGAAATTATGCTTATTACGTCGAGTTATGCTCGCTTTGACAATTATGAGCAATTTATTGATTTAAATATAACTTAATTGATTAATATATTAACAGTCTCACCTCAGGTCCGTATCTTAGAATCTTCTTCTCTTACTTAAATGGTAATACTTTTAAAAATAAATTTATTTATTCCTCAATTAATATTGATCGACTTATGCGTAGGTGGGAAAAAATCGAACTACATTAAAAGCAGCGTGTTCCTTTTACTTTCCTTACCATTACAACTATATGGGCTGACATATTTAATTCATTCAAACTCACGGTTACAATAATAAAATAAAAAAAAAACTATGAATGCCAAAGGAAGCATAACTTAATGGTAATTGACATATATTTCCAATAAATAGATTTTTTTAATTTAGTTCAACAACATACATGGGTCAGATTCGAATCTTTAACCATTTGATCGATAATATATCCCTTAATTATTTTACCTACATTATGACTCATTTGATAACGATTTATGTTTTTTATTTTTGGTTTTTCTCTTTTTTGTTTTATGTTTTTAACAAGCAGAAACCATATATGTTTAATAACTGTTTTTTGTTTTTTTTTGTTTTTAAAAAGCCTAAAACCAAACATGTTTCGTAACCATTCGTAGTTTGTTGTTTTTAAAAAATTAGAAAATTGAAAATATATATTAGAGAGAGAAAATTCTATGTAAACTAGAGATAACAATGATGTGGGGTAGAAATGGGGATGCCTTCTCCAATTTTTGTGTTCGTGAAAATTTTTAGTCCCATGTCTCCATCGGTCTGGGAATTGAGATTCATATTAAAGAATCCTTATTTGGGAACCCTTATTTGAGAACAGGGATATTCGCGGTAAAAATTATCGGTTTTATAATTCATTTTAATTATTTTAGAATTTAACGAAAAGTGTAATAAAAATATATTGATTACTTTTAGAATTATTATTTACTAACTATAAATAATTAATTTAAAAAATGTTTAATATTTTATTTACAATTAGTAAATATGTCAATAAAATATATGTTAATTATTTGAAAAAATGAAATCGGGAGGGTCGATATGAAACGGAGACCCAACCGTGTGAAAATAACAAGATTTGGAAAAAAAAAATAGCGGAAAAAAAAGTCAAACATAAAAAGAGATCAATTTTAAAGAAAATGAATAAAGTTAGATGAAAAGATACGTTCAAAGGAAAAAAAATTAGAAAGTGAAAAAAATTCAAAGATAAAAGCAAGATTCAAAATATAATTTTTAAAGAAAACAAAGAAATACAAAAAGAAATAAAAGTCATAATGAAAGAAAATTGGACTAAAAAATATAATTTTTAAATAAAAATAGATTAGGAATAGAAAGAAAAATTATAAAAAACAAAATTTTAGAGAGATAAAAATGTAGAAAAATATTAATTTTTTTAAGCGAGAGCTGTTAGAGATCCATAATAATAAATATTTAATAAAATGTTAGACAGAAAAAATAAATTTTTTAGAAATAC